CAAGTTTGTATCTGCTGAGGTCGACTTGCCGAGAAGCCGTTTGACCTGCTGATGCTATCGAAGCGTTCTCATTATGAATAAATGAGATTGAAGTTGGGATCTCCTCAATCCAATATAAAGAAGCGATATGACCCATTTTATTGTGACACGAAAGAATTTGTGAATTGGTCTCACCGGAAGCCGAGGCAGGATTGATTGCCTTTGAGTAGTGGAGACTGTTTGATTATGCCAACAAATCCTCGGCTCACGGTCCTGCGCCGTCGGTCGCGCCATAGCAGACATCTTCAGAGCTTTAAGCTATAATTTACGAAAAAGCGCATTAAATAGAATAAGGCAATAAAATAAAGGTGGCCCGGTACAATCATACTCACTTTTTATACTAAACTTTGCGATCTTTATGAGCCATACCATGATTTGGTTTGCAATTGGCGCTACAACTCACTAATGAATTCTTCTAAATCTTGTTTTCCTTCAGCAACCAGTTTCGTTGCCTTGGCTCAAGGCTGTATATACTTTACATTATACATAAAACTCATCAACTGCCCCTGATGGACGACAGGTCTTATAGGATCTTTGTGATGAGTCTACTTGGAATAAAATAAAAGGATATACGAAGAATAGTTAGGTTTCGCACCCTCTCTTGAGATGGTCTGGTTGTGGTGAATTGCATTTCCTGTATAAGTGCAAGATAAAGATATTTGTAGGTCTGTCCCATCAAAAGATGACGGCTGAGTCTTCTTCAGTCTGTGCTAACTTGCAGCTTTTGCTAGGATTAGTTCCAGTCTTGACAATGACGGTTGCACTCGAAACTAAGGAGAATGTCTCATTTACTGCGTCGACCTGTAGATCGTATTATAGCCCAACGGCTACAGAATAGTGAAAATCAGCCATCGTCTCCCGGCGAGATTGATCCACGAATCTATTCATCATCCTGTAATCTCGATCAATCCGTACCGAGCCTTCATCTGTGATGGTGCAGACATCCTCGGAGAGAGAAATCACATTTTACGAAAAAGCACTTATATAAAACAAATTTAATGAATTTCTTGGAGATTATAAGTAGGTTCATATTGAAATATTAAGAGAGCTTTCAAA